ATTCTGGTACTAGTGGTGGGCTGCCTTTGAAACACCCAATGTGATCCATCAATTTAAAATCCACAGTGGGTTCTCTGCAAATATATGGATCAGAACCAAGCCAGTTGTCAATGCTTAGAATTTGCTTTTCTTGGTACTAGGCCGTTTCTCGGAGGATTCATTGAGGGCATATATTGTCTTATGAAATTTAGGCCAGCAGAAATGAACTGACACTTAACCTTTGCACAAGTGTTTCTTGGTTGTTAGAGATTCCGTGATAGAATATTTTAGACGGGTCAAACTAGCATATGATTTGGTTTATTATTTCAAATATATGTTTTTTATTATTAACTTATTATTTTCTTAAGCTTATATAAAATTATTTATAAATCATATTTTTATATTGAAAGCCATCAAAAAGAGTAAAATATATAACTGTATTATCATGAAAACAATGAAAGCAAATCCAGGCAAATGTCAAGATTCATGAATTAATTTTATTTTTAAAAATTTATGAAATTTTGATTTGATGATTCAAATATGAAAATAGTTAAAAATTCCTCCATTTAATCTTTTTTTTTCAAAAAAAAATGAGTGGTTTTTGCTTTTTCCCTCCCCTAAAAAACAAGTGACACATTACCGTTAGTGCCCTCATCATGTCTATTAGAAAACTCTTACCCCTCATTTTTGAGCATTAGAGTGTTTTTTCTTTCAGTTAGTGTTACTGAATAACTGCTCCTACTTAGTTTATATAGAAGTTTTGTCAATTCATTTGGAGACTTTTTTTTTGCTCAAACGGACAACATCCTCTCCAATTACCTTTTCTCAAATTCTCTCCTACTGAGGTCTTTCCTCGTTTTATTCTTCGTCTTCCTTTGCCATTCCCCTATTCTCTACATTTTGTCATCATCTGCCACAGCACCTACCAATTCTTTCGATCTTTCTCTCCACCACTTTCTAACACACTTGGCTTTACTTATTTATATCACTACGTCTCTTTTTATGACAGCAGAATCCCGCTTACGTATGTATACCGAGTAATGCGATCTTCACTAGAACTTTTAAACTTTGTGCATGACCAAGTGATAACAATAGAATGCGTTGTATGTTGGCTGAGGGGAAACAAAACAGTTCATCAAAGTCGGAAAGAGGAGCGATATGGAAACATGGGCGAGTAGTTTTATGATTGTGCATTTGATGTGTTTGTGATATTGCTGTTATGAGCTGCAATCCTTGAAGAGTCTCATTAATCGTTTGATTTTAAGGTAAGTGCATTAATTTGAGTAAGTGAGTCAACTCGCTTTACCTCAAATTTGGTTGTGGTTTCTTTTTCGATTGTTTCTGTGCTCAATTTAAATGGGTTTATTTCTTTCATGAAGGATTATACTATCAATGAAAATTTTAATTTTGCTACGATTTAGGAATTATTCAAAAAGTGTTTGTTTTTTGAAAGATGGATTTTATTGACCGTGCTACCGTTGTGTCAAAGAAAGTTTCAAGCTAAAACTATCTAAGACTCCCGTTAAAATCGGCTTGACAAATAAAAAAAAAACTTTTTAATCATAATGGATTTATGAATAAAAAGGAAATAAAAAAGCATGTCATTGACTTGTGAGTAAAATATTAGAGGTTATGGCTCTGTTAATTATTCTCACGTCCACAAGGTTAGGGTTGTTATTGACTAGGGTCATCAATTATTCTGAATTTTTCATAAATCTAATAAGACAATGACTCAAAATTAAAAGGAAAATGTTGCCTCTCTACAAGACTTATCAACTACTTATACTGGTTGCAAAAGAGTCAAAACTACATTTTGAAGTTTGAGTCATTTTGCAGGCAATGTTCCAAGCGCGAGAAGTGGAGATCCCGACTGACACCAACCCGTGATGCGAATCTTTTGGAGCGCACAATGCTGTGTCCTTTCCATTGGAGAGAGAGAAAGAAAGAATCTTGAAGATTCCAAGAGCTTGTGGCAAGATGTGACGGCCACCAAATCCCTTTTTGACGGGTTTGCCCTCCTTTGTTTGGCCATCATGATGCAGCACGCCTCTGTATCATTGGCTCTGGCTCTTTGTCAAAAAAGTTTTTGGTTGTGCGATCTGCATAGTAACCCATTGTTGATTTTAATCAACTCAAACTTGGACCTCATGCTTTTTCTTACGTTCATGCAAGCATCAACAATGCTACTTTTACGCTTTTAACTCCATTATTCAATTGTATGGTTTTGTTCCTTTTTACCGCTTTCGTAACTATTTAAGACGGAGAACAGGCAAAGTCGTTTTGAGGTCTTAGATCAAAGGGAGTACATGGATGTTCAGTACAAATCGCTATCAAACTTTACACTTGTGGCTGCCACTATCTTTTTCCCAATTCAATGCATTTCAACTGTTGCATGTCATTTTCCTAATAAATCGCCTCTTTTGGTGCCATGGGCGCCTCATCACTCCACACAATGACCTTTGCATCAAGTTTTAGCCCAAGATTACGTCTTTAACGTATCATTAGAAGTTGACAGTGTGGCTAAATTAATTTTAAGTTTTGACATGTTGTAAATTCTCTTGGAATAGCTGTAGAACTAGAGATTCTTCGCAGAAAAAAGAAAGAAACCTGGAACGTGGATTATATATATATATATATAAGAAAGAAGGAAAACATGGCCGTGTTCTTGAGGTCCTAATGTTCTTGAGTTTGATGGCCCACGTGAACTACAAACATCCAAGAAACTTTACTGTGCTTTGAGTCACCCCTTAATACTCCATTGACTATTGCTACAAAAACAGTTGTGTGCCACTAGGGACTCAAATTTCACGCCACACTCCAATATGCTAGTTTCCAATTATAGGATTTATGTGGTCGGTTCTGGCTTCGCTTGGTTAATGCACTACTCGTCAATGGGTGATGATTTATGTATAGTATGCCACTTCGAAATTTTCTCCAACTTGAAAATTGGTCACAATTCACGGAAACATGGGCTGTGAGATTTCCAAGTGCTTCGAGTTTCAGCGACAAGACAACTGATCATTAACAGTGTGGGTTCATTGGAGATGTCCAACTTTAGGGCAGGTGGGCAACTAGGACACCTTATACATTGAGGAGATGATGGAGAGAGAGTTTGTGTTGGTCAATGGCTAGATTTTATGACAAATAAAGGACTATTTTTTTGGCACTCACGGTGAAATATGACCTTATATATATTATGTTGATTATAGGTTGTACACCTTTTTTTTTTTATTACAAATGGATAATAAATGTACTCTTTCTCTCGGATTTGGATAAGGAAATGAACACTACAAATTTAGAATCTCATCCTTAACTAGATTAGTAGATTGCTTTCATATACACACCACAAAGTGGATACCATCCATTTTCACAGATTCCTGTCATCCATGTAGAGTAGCTAAAATTCTGGTTGTAATTATAAGGTAGTGTGCATTCGTACTATATTCCACAAAGCGGAAAACAAAAATGCCAAAATGGCAAACTCAAAAAGGGCATGTGAAACTGATCTTGCAACGGACCTTCCTTACGTGGTCAGAAGTAGGAGCAAAATATTCGGGCATACTTCTTGTACGATTCCCCCTATCCCTGTTCAGATATTCATTAATTACACCAAATTGTAATAATTTTCACATAACAAACCTTATATTACGTGTAAAATAGAATAAAGAATTCCAACCATAAGTGCTAGAATCTAATGGACGAGGCCTATTAGGTGCGTAGGAACCAAATCAAGTCTAAAATTGATGTCTATCGTCTGCGTTTAGTCAGGCAGTTGAACCCTGAGACATCGTGTCGCTGACGTGCCGTCCCTTTCTGTCACAGTTTTCTGGGCTGTCAAATGTACGCTTTGATCTGTATTCGTTTTCCTTTTTATTTTGAGTAACGTTTGAATTAGGTATGTGTACGGTCTATGCACATATCCGATGATATAATAAATTAGTCATCGATCTTATGCAAATCTAATCAATCGCCAATCTTATCTTTGTTATCATATTATGGTGATGATGGAGCTCCTGTTGATAATGATGATGAGTGTGATTTATTTGCTCGCATTAGAATACAAACCCCCACTCTCAGAAGGCAGCGACCATGGGACCCTCAAGACTTTTACTTTTCCGCCGCCTACACCCAGCTACCCTGAATCGAGCAGGTTGGCTCAATATAATTAGAGAACGTGGCGTAAGGTCAGCTAGACCACTTGAAAGTTTGAACCTAAAACCAGGGCCCTTTTCTGCTTGTTTGTTGGCCTCTCTGTTTGCAAACCCTGCAAACAGCCAAATGGCAGCCCTTTCCCTCGGCTTTCCCTTTTTAATTTTTTTACTTATTATCATCAATAATTAAAGTAGTCAACTTTGTTCAATTAGGAAATTAAAAAGATTGGAGTTAGAAGTAGCAAACTCGCTCAAGCAATTGCACGAACCCTATCAAGCCTGTTCAAATTTTGGCTTGATGGAAAACGTTTTTTTTTTTATTGAAAATAAAAATACTATATACTACTTATACATTAGCTGTCAAGATGTCTTTAACATATTAAATTTTGCTCATGTCAAATATTGATAAAAAGTGTTGTTGTAGAAGTCGCGTACCTAAGTTCCTATGATCTTATTAGAACTCTTATTTACATGGTTTTACATTTTTATTAAACCTCATAGATTAACTTTTCTTTAAATGGGTACTTATTCCAACCAGGAACTCTAAGGCAGACAAATAAGTATAAGTTAAAATTCAATTAATTAATTAAATATGATAAATTAAAATTGATTTATTTTTAATGATTATTATCCTTTTTCATTCAACCAAATTTTCACACGCTCCATATACCAGCAAAGATCCTAATTGGGAATATTTTTTAGGAGTCATAAATTCAAATTAAAGGCCATTAATGCTAAATCTTGCTAGTATTGGGTGATTTAAATAGCGTGATGAATCAAAGGTGGAATCATCAATTTTTATATTATAGCTTCTTCCTTGTATTCCCAATTCCCATAACTATTCTGAAAACCAGGTATTCTCTGTCATGTCCTTCTCACTTCCAACCTTGAAGTGATGCAAATCCCACATAAAAAAGCAAAAATGTAAATAAGAGTTAATCTATTAGGTTTAAAGAAAAGTTATGCATGAACCTCATACATTTATTATGCTGTCGTATTTACTTCAAATAAGAACAACAGAAAAAAAAAAATTAAAGAGGCAAGATGGTAAATTTCCGAAAGTCAGAATAGTAAAAATGTAAGAAACAGCTTATAAAAAGGGTTGTGTCCCGTGCTACTGTTATTGACAAAACCTCGTAAATGACCTTGCTCTCCTCGAAAACAAGTGGAATAGAGAGAAGAGAAATAGAGGGAAGAGACCAGAAAAAGAGATAGATTCCTCCTGCCCTGATTCTACTACTGAACTTGAAATTTACATTGAAATTCAACTCTAAGAGGGTTCAAGTCCGTGAGAGTCTATAAAAAGGGGCCAAGGTGTGAGTTTTAGGGTTGTAAAGTGGGCTCAAAGAAGCGAAGGCGAGCGAGAGCGAGAGGCAGAGAGTTAAAAGAGACAGAGAGAAAAATGGGAGCCTGGGCTATCGCAGTGCATGGTGGCGCTGGTGTGGACCCAAACCTCCCTAAAGAAAGGCAAGAGGAGGCTAAAAGACTCCTCACACGTTGTCTTAATATTGGCATCTCTGCTCTCCTCTCTAATCTCCCCGCCATTGACGTCGTTGAACTCGTCGTATGTCCTTTTTTCTTATTTTTCATTCCTTTCGTTTCATTATCTTTCCATCCCTTGTATATTCAGTTAATGAAATTCTAATGTCGTAAAAAGAACAAAATTTTTTTGCTTTGGTCATGTTTACCGTATTAAATATGAAGAAAATGCAAAGACATCGTTTTTCACTTTATTTTTTATTGGAGAAAAACGATAATGGTGACGACATGAGTTTATATGTTTATGGGAGAGATTATTTCGTTGATGTCGTTTTCTTCTGGAATGATAAAGTTGGAGTCTGTTTTGGGTTAGGTGAGAGAACTGGAAACAGATCCTTTGTTCAACTCCGGGCGTGGATCTGCTCTCACGGAGAATGGGACGGTGGAGATGGAAGCCAGCATTATGGACGGACCAAAGAGGAGATGTGGTGCTGTGTCGGGTTTAACCACGGTGAAGAATCCTGTCTCTCTTGCCCGACTTGTCATGGATAAATCACCACATTCTTATCTGGCCTTCTCGGGTGCCGAGGAGTTCGCTAGGAAACAGGTTTGAATTTACCAGTTTAGCCCTTATTGTCCAAACCCACGGAATCTTTGATTCCGTTGTCCACGTGTTGAATGGCTTAGCCACACGCTTTCATGTTTTGACGCGTGAGAGGAAAGTTTAGATTCTTCTCTTATGCTCTTTATATTTTTAATTAATGGGTTGGATTTTGTGCAGGGCGTAGAGTTGGTGGACAATGAATACTTTATTACGGAAGATAACGTGGGGATGCTTAAGTTGGCAAAAGAGGCAAACTCAATCCTGGTACGTTTGATTTCCCATTAATTTCCATGAAATGACATTGATGCAGCAAGTCACGTGGTGGGACCATGTCTTACTCGGTTTTGTCCTGTGACCAGTTTGATTACCGTATCCCAGCAATTGGCACTTGCGGCGCCGGCGCAGCTATGGACAGTCCCTTGCAGATGAACGGGCTTCCGATCAGCGTTTATGCTCCGGAGACGGTTGGGTGCGTGGTCGTTGACAAGGAAGGCCGGTGTGCTGCAGCCACCTCCACTGGTGGACTCATGAACAAGATGACTGGAAGGATCGGTGACTCGCCCCTCATAGGCTCGGGAACCTACGCATGTGACTTGTGTGGGGTGTCATGCACTGGGGAAGGAGAGGCGATCATCCGCAGCACCCTGGCTAGGGAAGTAGCGGCAGTGATGGAATACAAAGGGTTGAATCTGCATGAGGCGGTGGATTATGTGATAAAAAATAGGTTGGATGAAGGAAAAGCTGGGTTGATTGCTGTGTCTAAGAATGGTGAGGTGGCTTGTGGGTTTAACACCACTGGGATGTTCAGGGGCTGCGCCACCGAGGATGGGTTCATGGAGGTTGGTGTGTGGTAAATGTGCTCGGCTTGCGCTAAACCTTTAGCAGTAGGCGGCCCAAGGGGAATTTGCTTTCCGTGATTTTACTCATCTGCTCCACAGGATCTCTTGTTTGGTCATAATTAAGTGAAGCACTGTGTAACTGAAATGCCCGAATAATAATCAATCAGGATCAATATTTTGGGACTGTAATTTGCTAGTATCAAATATCAATCAATCATGACATGTTGATGCTTTAGACTTTTGTCTACTATTGCCATCAGATCCTTGTGCGTATGAGACATTTTTTTCCTTTAAAGTAGCAAAATCTTTTTGACCTTAAAATGAAGGGAAATGGACTTAAATCTTGGACGGAATCTTGAGTGGGACAGCCAAAAATGTACCTTAAATATTCGTCTTGCTTTCGAAAGTTACCCTAATTGTATTCTGGTTCTGTCAGCTGTGGTCCAAGGGAAACGGCCACTTAGAAATACCCATCCCCTTCAATTGGCCGACCTCACATGATAAATGAATGGCCATGTGAAGTAGTGAGATATTAATTTCTCTCATGGGTCAATGATGACCCCTTGGTTAATATTATCATTCTGTATTCAAACTTGAAAGTTGAAACCACTAAAATTTACCCCTTTCTGTGGTCATTTCCTTGTATTGAAACTTATTTATTTATTACCTCAAAGGCATACATAATTGATGATCCCAGGTGGAAACATGTAATCACTCATTCGTTACTACCGTGACCACGGCCTGAAATGGCATCCTTGGCAGAACGAAAGGCGTTTGCTACCGCATCAGCTACACCAGCCAAGACACCACCCTTGTTGCCAGAATTGCGAGTCAAGTGAACCACTCCCACGTCCTTCAACCTGGGTTCTTTGCTTTCCCCCAGCGGTGATTGCATATCTACAGTCTCCACCTTGGTTTCTACCGCTTCTTGTTCATTGATCTCTTCGGTTCCTTGCTAAAAATGTATGCTGGCTGAGAGCCTGAGTATCTATCAAGCAAAGGGAAACTAAAGAAGGGGAGCCGAGTACATACCTTTGTTTCCATGTTGCAAGCTTTAATTTGAAACAAGATGTCAAACACAGGGATGAATATGGACTCTCTGCTGCGTAAAGGTTGCTATTTACTGGGATAGCCCGTTCAATGTGCATTTGGGACACGTTTCATGTGCGGCATGCGGTGGCAATTTCTGCCAAATTGTTGGACAGGTGCCTCGTTTCTTATTTTGGCTTGTCTTGAGTGCCCCTGCTCCACCCCGCCGCTTGCATTGCATCTATCGAATCCAACAAACGAAACAAAAGAAAGGAAATTATATCTTTAATCAAAGATTCAAATTTGCCACATATGACTCTGTCCAGATTCCACACGCTAAAAGGACAGCTACCAAAAGGGCCTAGGAATAGAAACTCGAGATTCCAAATTTGGTCAAAGATTGTCCTAATTGCTTCTACAGTACCTTAGAACTTGGGTTAAGGCTTGCATAATGTGAGTTGCACTTCTGCAATATGCATGTAAAATCTTGATAAAGCAGCAAAATCCATGCTCAACTTCCTGACAGTAAATTTTGATAGACGTGTTCCACATTGTGCTCCTCGTGAACTCCAGAGCACACTACTCGACTAGCGTAGGAGAAATATTAATTTAAATGAAAAGGGCACATTTCAAGGCACCTACCTGAAATTTCAGGTATTTGACAATCCAACCAATTGAGCGGTGGAATTCAATCAGAACAGTGCTCAAATTAGTAATAAACAGACCCGAGCATGATGGTATCGACTGTATTACAACATTAGGAAGGCAAACTCTTCAATTGCTGGAATTTCTCCTATTTTCTTTAATGCTTCTACGCTGGGATCCTCATCCACACCAATGGTCATTACAGCTTGTTTCCTGGGTGCAATTCTTCCAACACTCATGAAATTTACATTTACATTTTCCTCACCTTTTATACTGCCCACCCTTCCAATCATACCAGGTTGATCAATCTGCCTGCAGAGAATAGGACTGCCTTCCAGGCTTACATCGACACCAAAGGATCCAATCTTGGTCAGATGGGGTTTGCCATCCTTCACTCTTCCTTCCACTGTAATCTCACCAGAGTCAGAAATTGCACTAGCAAATTTAGATTCCACATTGGCAATTTGAACCTGAATGAACTCGAGTGGATTCTCAGGTGAACCATCCAACACAATACGCTCTTCCCTTAAATTAAGTCCTCCCTTTTTAGCAGAGAAGTCAGCGTTCAGTAAGTTCACAAAAACACTAGAAATAGGCTCAATCAGACCCTTGGTAAGCGTAGCTCGGAGCAGCCGAGTATCAAGATTTTCTGGACCTCTAGCAGAAGCATAGGTCACCTTGACAAACTTCACACCTCTTCCACCAACAACCAACTGCACAGCCAATCTGCCCAGCTTCTCAGTGAGTGCAACAGATGGTGCTAGCTCTGACTGAACCTGTGTATTAAAACAAGAAACGTTGAAATGCACATAATTGCCAAACAAAGATTAACATCCAAGAAAATTGTTGACTAGCTCCATCAAGTATCAATGATTGCATTATGTTAGTAAGATCAATTATCAACACTCTGAAATCAGACAGGGTAGCCCAGTTACCATCATTATCCAAATAGAAAGTATATACAAGAATAACTTACAATTTGAGATGGTACCTGAACAGGGACCATGGGGGCAGTTACAGCTGTAGCAGCAAGCTCCCCTTTCAAAGCCCCAACAACAGCTTCAGCTATTTCAAGGGCCACACCTTCCTGATCACACAATCATCATAAGGCTGTAAAGCCAAACATATGACGAAGTAAAAGGACAGAGGCCAAAATAGATGGCCGAGCATATACCTGAGCCTCTGTGGTAGTAGCACCAATATGAGGAGTTACAGTCACATTTTCATGCTGCACCAACTTACTTTCTTTTGGAGGAGGCTCTTCTGTGAACACATCAAGTGCTGCCTGCGCAAAACCAACATTAATTTACTTGCCAACTACGTAGTATATAACTGACTATACACACAAACCTGAGCAACAATCCCAGAATCCAAGGCCCGTAGTAGAGCTTCCTCATCAATAACACCACCACGAGCAACATTGGCAATTCGAGGCCCTGTCTTCATTCGTGAAAAAGCGTCATCATTGAACATTTTTGGTGTAGCAGGGGTGAGAGGCTTGTGCATGGAGATAAAATCTGCAGTTAATAATTCTTCTTTGAAGGTCACCAGCTCCACTCCAATTGCACAAGCACGGTCTGCCAGGGCATAACGATCATGTGCAATTACATGCATGCCAAGTCCCTTAGCACGCCTAGCTACTTCTGAACCAACTTTCCCAAACCCCATTACAGCCAGTGTTTTCCCCACGAGGGATACCCCCACATACTTATTTCTCTGCACTTCCCTGGACAGACCAAACTTCTACTTAGCATTAAGAAGTCAAATTAGAAACATTGAAATTAAAGCCTTCAACGTCGTATCGCCACTAGCTCAACTCACCGCTCAACTTACTCATATTAGGAAAACAAAAAAGAACATAGCAAAATTTTTAACTTTCAAGTCATTCTTTCTTTCTTGTATTCTCATTTTCAGATTTAAACTTCCCACACATTTTTTTCTGTTGATAGCAACACCCAAATACGCTTGAAGAAATGCCT